AAGTAATTATGAACTCTACGGACTTCAGTAACACCTCTCCAATAAATAGCGCAAGTCCTCCGTTTGAGACGGCCTTCTCATTGCTGCAGACCAAAGACAGAGCAGTCTGTCTAGTACTTGATGTTTCTGGGAGCATGAATGACGTAAGAATAAAACATATACATTCTTTTCTTTTTTTTTAGCAGAACTGCTTAGAAACAGGCAGTTATAAAACAATGTGGTGTATATATATTACAATATTTTCTTTAGTCAATATTTCCGTAATCATCCTTTACTCTTTAAGAAAAAATTGAGGCCACTATTTCTCCAATAATACATATTTAGGGATTGCTAAAAGGAAACTCATCAAATTCCTAAAAATGATATGCCAGACTTGGTCTCTTTTTCTTTACAAAATATAACTTGTGCTCCTCTTTTTAGTTTCAGATCCAGAATGTCAGAACCACTGTACTTCCCCAAAACAGAAAATATATCATAGATGCAAGTTTCATGATATTTTTCATATGTGACTCTCTCAAATTATTTTAAAAATAAATATATGTCACCAGGTCTAGCAAAATAAAAATGAAATGCTTTTCGTCATAATCATTCATCCTTATGAGTCAAGAATTTGGGTTGTCATAAAGTGATGCTGGATTAACCAGGGTGAGGCTCTTTTAAATTTAAATTTAGCACAATTCTCATCTTGCAGAAGCTGTTACAGGTGATATGAACCTTTAAAGAGACTTTCAATCTGTTTAGGGCCTCAAATTTACCATTCTTAAAGTAAATTCAATATAACCTCTCTGAATAAGGTGTGTTAATATGTATAAATATTCCATAGACGTGAGAGTCATCTGGTAAATTTGCCACATTTTTTGCAATTTATCCTGTACCTTTTCAAGCTTCACCTGCCTTCTGCCCATAAATCCATCTCCCCAGGTTTTATGCTTATATTCCAAACAACTACCCAGCTTCCAAGAGCTATTTTTATATGAATCTCTGTTGCATTCTTTCCCTAATATACAGAATTTCCTCATCCCTAATTTATTTATTTCAAACATTCAATCCGGAGCTAGTGACAAAGACTGTTCTCAAATATGTTATAACTTTCAAGTTTGATATCTCACAGACCTTCAGGGCTAGAAATAGGACCTTCCCACCAGTATATTTCTGGGAAGAGAAGATTCTCGGTTTCCCTATGGGAGACACAACATCCTTTTGTGCCCTGGAGAGGCCCCAGATATCTCACTTTAAAATTGTGGCATCTTAATGTCTGGAAAAAAACGTATGTAATTTTAGACGTCTTTATGAGCCCTCTATGGGTTGAATAATGATAGCAAAGTAGGCTGGCATTACAGGTGGGGATAAAAAGTAGTCCCAATATAAAAATATTAAAACCTCTCTAAAACATTCCAAGAATGCTTTTTACTATCATACTGAATATACTCACTCAAAATTTCATCATCAAGGAATAACG